TGAGTTCTCCACTCTCCATTAATCTTAGTAGAACATCAACTAAATCTTCACCTCCAAATGCACCATTTCCCTTTTTACCACTTGCAATATTCTTCTTGTGCTCATTGATAACATCCTCAACAATAGCATCAACATTTTTGTGAACTTTCAAGATTCTACTCCTCACTCCACTTAACACTTGAAGGATCTTGATTGAAGGGAAAATGTCAGCCAAATTAAATCCACCTGCCAATTCCATCACTTCCTTCACCATTTGAATGAATTTCTCTTGGTCTTTCAACAATTCCCCAAATGCTGCTTTACATGTGATTGAGCTCTGGTACCATAAAATCCGTTCCGTAACATTTATTGGCTCGCCACATGTCGATGACTGGATGAATTGCACGAGGCCTGAAGCCTCGTCCTTCCTGATGGAACTAAAGGATCGTACGTTCTTGGCGGTGAGGAGTTCCATGACACATACTTTACGCATTTGTCTCCAGTATTCACCATAAGGAGTAAATGCGATGTCCGTGCTCTTGTAACATATTGTGTCGACGGATGCTAATTTAGGCCTCGATGCAAAAGCAAGGTCATGAGTTTTCAGTACCTCCCGGGCCATATCCGTAGATGAAACTATGACCGTAGAAATTTCCCCTAGTTGTAGGTGCATGAGAGGCCCATATTTTTTGCTCAAGTTTGTGAGTGCATGATGAGGAAGTCCACCTTCTAGTACCAAGTGATGGATACTTCCTAAGAAAGGCAATTTCCATGGTCCTGGAGGAAGTTTTTTGTTCAAGTTTCTTGATTTTTTCCTTTGCACAAGTAGTAGATAGAGGAATGATAGGAAAAGAAATAAGAAAATGAAATTGAATGGAAATTGGAACTCCATTAGATAGCTAAAGCTAAGAGAGGAGTGTCTCTCAAGTTGTATATGGCTATATTTTGGCCTATCCTAATGCCAGAGGGATATGATCCAAGTGTTAGGCTATCTTTTGGCCTATCCTTGAAGATATTTTCCTTAAAAATAAGTAGTTTTCTTATATAGTTTTTTTTTTTAATATTTGAAAAGCAGAAAAAATGTAAAATCTAAACAAACACTATGAAATAAGATTGGGGCTGGCGGTGGGCAGGATTAAAATGTCGAAACTTGTTTTTTATGCTTTTATTAGAAAAACTTTTTTTTCAATTTTAGAGCGATAGGATTTTAATTACTTAATACTTAGCTTCTAATAAGATTCTGACATATATTACACAGTTCAGGGGCGGATTTACATTGAACGAAGGGGTTCATCCGAACCCCCTTCGTCGAAAAATTACTAGGATTAAATTTTGAATATATGTGTATATATACTATTGAACCCCCTGAACATACACCAAAGGCGTAGCTCAGTGGCGTTGGGGGTTCAGGAGTTTTGCTCTACTGCACGCGAGGTCGCGTGTTCGAATCCGGACAGAGGCATTTTGTTTTATCAACTTATTTCAGACGTTTTATTTTTTTAAAATAAATAATAATGCAATCAGAAAACGATGTTTAGTTCCAAAAAATTAAAACGCTGATTGAGAATTTAGGATTTATTAGTTTAATCCCTAATCATAAAGTCAAATATTAAAAAAATCGTTTCTTCTTGATTCGACCGTTTAATCCGACCCGTTTATATCCGATTCGACCCGTTTATTTATGGATATTATTTACGTGATTAATTTTTTTGAACCCCCTTGATGAAAATCCTCCCTCCGCCACTGTTACACACATATCATATTTTCCAGCCACACGTAGAGCCTCCAAGACGATCCGTATTGATTAATAGATCTTCGCGTCCTGCCACATATTGCATGACAAAATATCTTTGGTTTTATTTTGAACAAACTACGAGCTATACATTACTCATGTTATTTCGTCAGCAGCATCGTAAGTTTGTGTACTGACCTCAGTAATATAATTCTAATAACATTTTATTACACTTTTTATGATATGTGATTCATATTTGAAGGTGCTACTATTTTTACGATAAAATGTTGATTTTCAAGCAATTTTTTTCGTCTTTTATCAGTAAAACAAAAACAACATGCAAATATTGCAACCGTATTTCCTTTGTTCTTTAGATAAACAATATGTCCAGCTTTACATATTAATTACCCATTTCCAAATTAAAATTATATATCAATTAATATGAATATTATGATAAAATACTCTTATTAATTACTCTATTAATTTAAAATGCATACAAAATTTAAAGACGACAAATAAAATGAGTACAAATATAAATGACGGAAGAAAATATCTTTGATTTCATTTAGAATTTACTAAGAAAACATAATTAGTTTTATTTAAAATCTGTTAAAATATTATCTATTAACAATATATAAGTGAAAACAAGTTAGCTATTAATATATATATTAATATATAAGTAAGAACAAGCCAACAACTAATGATCAAACAGACATATTGTCCATCAACGGTGTGTTTATCCATACTTATATATTAGTAGTGGAAGTGGATAGTGGATATTTGACTTTTAATGCATCAATAATGCCATCTTTTCTGAGAAAATGATATAAATAATCTCTTAACTATATGAGTAGGTCTAAAATGGTCCTTTAACTATATACTTAACGGATTTAGTCCTTTAATTATATCGGTTTTAGTTCCTTAACTATAAACTTATCGATTTTAGTCCTTTAAATATTTAAAAACTTATCAGGTTTGGTCTTTGTCCATTTTTAAAATACAAATAGCTTAGGTTTATATTAACGGAAATCTTCGTGAAATTGTATCTTTAACCCATTTTTAAAGTTGTTTCTCTATCCCCACCATTTTTCTTCAAACTACTCTTATGAAAAGAACAATAACGTCAACGATTCAAAATAAAATTAATGAGGAAAGAAGATATAAGTCCTTATTTTATTCAATGGAGGATAAAATTAAACATATAATTGTTGTTAATGACTTGAATCCACACTTGAATATGCTAATCAATGCGGATTTTATTTAATTTCATCAAAATAAAATTAATGAGGAAAGAAGATATAAGTCCTTATTTTATTCAATGGAGGATAAAATTAAACATATAATTGTTGTTAATGACTTGAATCCACACTTGAATATGCTAATCAATGCGGATTTTATTTAATTTCACAAATTTATTTACGTAAAATAAAATGAATAGAATAATAAAATTGATCTATTTAAAAAAATTGCAAATCTACCATGCATTTTATAAATTTCAATTTCTGAAAAATTAAACAAATTTCGTTCAATAAAATCGTTGGAGTACAAACTTTGAATTTTATGATTAATATTTTTTTTCTTTTTATAATAAAGTTAAGCATATTCAAGTCATTAGTAGCAATAATATGCTTCATTTTATCCTCTGTTGAATAAAATTATGACTTATATTTTCTTTCCTCGTGAATTTTATTTTAAATCATTGAGGTTAAGGTTCTTCGCATAAGGTTAATTTGAAGTAAAAGTAGCGGAGAGAGACAAATAATAGAAAAAATTGCTAAAGGATTTAATTTCTCGAGGCATGAATTCCGTTAATATAAACCTAAGCTATTTGTATTAAGAAAATGGACAAAGACCAAACCTGATAAGTTTTTGAATACTTAAATGACTAAAATCGGTATGTTTATAGTTAAGGGATTAAAATCAGTAAGTGTATAGTTAAGAGACCAAAACTGATAAGTTTATAAATAGTTAAAGAACTAAATCCGTTAACTGTATAGTTAAGGGATCATTTTAGACCCATTCTTATAGTTAAGAAACTATTTATGTCATTTTCTCCATCTTTTCTTATAGAGAAAATACATCAAATCACATTTAAACTTAACAACAAAAGTTACTTTGACACTTTAATTATACTGATGTTTATTTATCCCTTAACAAATTTTAAATGAATTAAATACGGCCTTAGGGGGTGACGTGATAGAGAGAGTGAACCTACTCTCCTAAAAGCGTGTGAAGAAAGAAAAAAGAAAAGCTGAAATTACAAGATTATGTGTCATTTTTTTTATCGGCCAACATATAAATAATATTTTTAATCTTTTTTTCTTAATATATTAACTTTTTTAAAATATGTGAATTTTCTTATAGAGATAATGGAATTTATGAATCCCATTTAAAATAAAGTTTTAACTTTATTCTCTTTAATTGTTATTGACATCGATTTTATGAAATTCAGTACTAACATCATTGTTACAGCCATTAATTCCACAACATCCACTACCAATAGCAATAATAATGGAGAAGAATGGAGCGATGAGGAATACACATTCCTAAATAATCGATTTTACAATATCTACATCGATTCACAATCAATACCCATTAAGAACACACATTCATAGATCCATATTTTTAATTAATGTTCTTGCAGCTTCAATCTCACCAATAAAATTAGTGAATGAAGATCGTATAAGAAAGTTGAAAGATCCATATTTTTTGCATCACTAATAATAGAAGCTCAAAATATGGGTTACTTAAAATTCAAGAAAAATTACATTTATAAAATATAAGCATCAAGATTTTACTTATGATTTTTGGTAGAAATCTTGTTGATAAAATGTATGAAGCTTGAGACTATAGCTAAAGAAACTGTTGTTGAAAGAAATTAGATTCAATTTTCGGTTGGCATTGTTGAAATGATTTATCTTCAATTTTTGATTGCCATTACTGAGGATTTACCTCCAATTTGGTACTGATGATAAAGCTCTTTGTTAAATAAATGAGCCAACATAAGTTTTGAAATTAATTAGTTTAGTGTATATAAGTTAAAAAAAGATATATTTAAAGAAAACGAAAAAATGGTGAATAAACAGTAAGAAATAAAAAATTAATGATGTGATGCTTAGATGGCTATGACGTCATGCTTATATTGCTATGACATGGCGGGTGAGAGTAGTATTTTAATCTGAGGGTGGTATTTAATTCATTTGAAAGTTAAGAGGGTAAATAAATGTCCGTATAATCAAAGTGCTAAAGTAAACAATTCATTCTATGCAACGAGTATCTTTGGGATGACTTAGCCTAATATAACACATTCAGACCAATGAACAGTCCTTGTTATTTTGTGAATGCTTGAGCTTGTACCATGCAAACTTAGCCATGCATTTCCTGAAACTAGAGTACTAGACATAAACTGATCAATGAATTTCTCTTGATCTTTCAACAATTCCCCAAATGCTGCTTTGCATGTATTTGAGCTCTGGTACCATGAAACCCGTTTTGTAACATTTATCGGCTCGCTACGTGTTGATGACCGGATGAACTGCACGAGGCGTGAAGCCTCGTCCCGCCTGATGGAACTAAAGTACCGTACGTTCTTGGAAGTGAAAAGTTCTAATACGCATACTTTGCGCATCTGTCTCCAGTATTCACCATAAGGAGTAAATGCGATGTCCATGCTCTTGTAACATATTATGTCGATGGATGCTAATTTAGGCCTTGATGCAAAAGCAAGGTCGTGAGTTTTCAGTACCTCTCGCGCCATGTCCATAGAAGAAACTACGACCGTAGAAATTTCGCCTAGTTGAAGGTGCATGACAGGCCCATATTTTTTTCCCAATTTTGTGAGTACATGATGAGGAAGTCCACCTTCTAATGCCAAGTGATGGATACTTCCTAAAAAGGGCAATTTCCATGGGCCTGGAGGAAGATTTTTGTTTAAGTTTCTTGATTTTTTCCATTCGACCAGTAGTAGATAGAGGAATGAAAGGAAAAGGAATAAGAAAATGAAATTGAATGGATATTGGAACTCCATTAGATAGCTAAAGCTAAGAGAAGGGTGTCTCTCAATTCTCAAGTTCAAAGCTTTGTTGTATAGGGCTATTTTTGGCCTGCTATATAATCCTAATATCTTGAGAGAAATGATCCAAGAGTAAGGGTGTGTTTGGTATGAATTTTCCTAAAAAATAAATAGTTTTCTTACTTATTTTCTCGTATGTGATAGGTAAACAGAAAATATTGTAAAAGCTAGGCAAACACTATTATTATTATCACAATTCAACTTGTAAACGAGTCTGAAGTCAAGGTACGGGTCATGCTTATGTATTATGCCTATATTATACGCATAACAATATTTTTCGGCCGTATGTAGAGCCTCTAAGACAAAGAGGAGACTATCAATTATCCTTTCAAAATTCATATTGATTAATAGATCTTCGCATCTTGCCACATATTGCATGACGAAAACTATTTCCTGATGCAGTGATAGCTGCTACAAAAGTACAAAATTTGGTTTTATTTGAAACAAACAGAGGAAAATTCCAAACTCTGAGCTATACATGTTAATTTGTCAGCAGTGCCATCCGATATATTCAAACTTGTGTCTAATGTCATAAATTATAGGTAAATTTTGATGAAAATATATATAAGATATTTAAATTGTTCATAAAAACTAATATATTATGTATATAATGTGTCGGTTGATTCGATTATTTTGAATCAAACAAAATATTATCAATTTAAAAAAATGTAAAACCAGATCAAACCAAATCCAAATAAAAAAAATCGATTGGTTCAATTTGAATCAGTTGAAAGAAATTATTGTGGAAGCTTGCACAAAGGTTTGAATATCAGTGTTCAACATTGTTATGGTGAGGCCAATCAAGTCGCGGATGCTTTGGCCAAATGAAGCATCAAGAACCAAGATCACAATTTCTTCTCGAGGGGCTCGTGCAGAATGAACCAATTACAATTGCCATCGCTAAGATTCAAATGCATAAAGCATTCGAGTATTCACTATTTTCACTCCAAATTACTCACAAGATTGTAATCCAGTTGATGCAACCAAGGCACTACTCTAAGAAGGGAAGCCCCACAGAGCAGAGTAGTGGAGAGACTAGAACTCTGTTCGAGTAGAGTCGAGGGTGGGATTGAAAGACTCATCAACTTGTCGTCTCAGTTTTTTGTGCCACAAAAGGTATCTTATGTCTGTGTACCTGAGTCTACATCAACTAAAAGATGCAGTGCCCTTGACCAAGGGATGTAAGTACATATGGAATAGTACCATATGTAAAATGACAGAATGAAACATGAACGTACATATATTTTTTTTAAAAAAAAACAGGATGACCAACAGAATCAGACACACAACATGGAAGGATCGTGATAATCAAGTGTCACCAACATGTTCTGACATTTAGTTTCTTAGTCATGCGTTAGTTCGTTATGGAAATTCATTAGTGTAACTGAACATGAGGTAGCAGAGTGAGTCCCTTTTGCTATATATGGTTCAGTTAACAAAAACAAGGGCTTACTGCTATAAAAAATCACTAAGAAATGTCACTGCTAGAAACAAAGGTTTTCTCACCGCGATCAATAAAAAAATTGTGTTATAAAACATGATTTTCTCATTCATTTTCCACCAAACCAGCTCACTGGAAAACACATGGTAGGAAACAAATTCTGCTGAAATAGTGGAAGCTTTCTAATTTTGGATGGAGAAGCTATTATTGTTAATAAACAAAACTTCAAAGTACATGAACTGATCATTGAACAACACATGAATATATTACATACAAGCTTGAAACAAGCTGACACAAATATCATTAAATACATAATTCACAAACAAAAAAAGAAGAACAGAGAGGATAAAATATCATTCATGAGAAGGATAATAAGGAGTGGCAATCAAGTAGAGCTCGCTCTTTCTTGCTGCAGTTATTCCGGAAAATTCAGTCATGTCCACATCCTTAGGCTTCAAACCATCAGGTAATTTCCAATCAAAATGATACAACAATTTAGCTAGTGGAAGATAAATATTGATCAAACCAAATGTAATCCCAGGACACATTCTCCTTCCGGCACCAAAAGGAAGATACTCAAAGTTATTCCCCATGAAATCCACAGAGGTCTGCTCGAATCTCTCAGGGATAAAGCTTTCTGCATCTTCCCAATACTTCGGGTCCCTCCCCATTGCATAAACGTTAACCATCACTCTTGTTTTTAATGGGATAGTGTAACCGTTGATGTTTGTTTCTTCCCTGCATTCTCTGGGGACTAAGAGAGGAACTGGAGGATGAAGTCTTAAGGTTTCTTTAACAACTTGTTTTAGATATTTCAATTCCTCAATAACATCTTCATCGAACGTTTCTTTTCCTTTGAAGGCTTGTCTTACCTCAGCTTGTGCCTTCGCTAATACACTTGGTTTCCTCATCATTTCTGACATAGCCCATATCGTTGTTGTTCCTGAAGTTTCTGCTCCCGCAGAGAACAAGTCCTACATTTTATTATTAATAAAAGAAGAATTTACATGAATAGCTGGTGAATGTATAATATGTGTGTATAAATTTGAAGGATTTTCCCTATAAAAGTAAGAATACTTACTATTATAATTGCTTTGATGTTGTCATTGGTGATAGGAATTTTAAGTTCTCCACTCTCCTTTAATCTTAGTAGAACATCAACTAAATCTTCACCTCCAAATGCACCATTTCCCTTTTTACCACTTGCAATATTCTTTTTATGCTCATTGATAACATCCTCAACAATAACATCAGCATTTTTATGAACTTTCAAGATTTTACTCTTCAATCCACTTAACACTTGAAGGATCTTGATTGAAGGGAAAATGTCAGCCAAACTAAATCCACCTGCCACTTCCATCAATTCTCTCACTATTCCAAGGAATTTCTCTTGATCTTTCAACAATTCCCCAAATGCTGTTTTGCAGGTAATTGAGCTCTGGTACCATAAAATCCGCTCCGTAACATTTATTGGCTCGTCACGTGTTGATGACCGGATGAATTGTACAAGGCGTGAAGCCTCGTCCCATCTGATGGAACTAAAGGATCGTACGTTCTTGGTAGTGAGAAGTTCCAAGACACATACTTTGCGCATCTGTCTCCAGTAATCTCCATAAGGACTAAACGCGATGTCCGTGCTCTTGTAACATATTATGTCGAGGGCTAATAATTTAGGCCTTGATGCAAAAGCGAGGTCATGAGTTTTCAGTACCTCTCGCGCCATATCCATAGAAGAAACTATGATGGTAGAAATTTCGCCTAGTTGAAGGTGCATGAAAGGTCCATGTTTTTGCCCAAGTTTGTGAGTGCATGATGAGGAAGTCCACCTTCTAATGCCAAGTGATGGACACTTCCTATAAAGGGCAATTTCCATGGGCCTGGAGGAAGCTTTTTGTTTAAGTTTCTTGATTTTTTCCAATCCACAAGTAGTATATAGAGGAATGATAGGAAAAGGAATAAGAAAATGAAATTGAATGGAAATTGAAACTCCATTAGATAGATAGCTAAAGCTAAGAGAGGGGTGTATAGGCTTTAATTCTTCTGGCCTAATATATAATCCTAATGTCAGAGAGAAAATGAATTGAGAGTAAGGATGTGTTTGTCCCCGAAATTAAGTGTCTTTTTTGCTTATTTTCGGTATTTGGTAATACACAGAAAAAAAGTGTTTTGAAACTTTTTTGATCAACCAAACATGATTGTTTTTGGAAAAGACTCCACACAAAACACACACTAAATATAATACTAATCTTATACCTGCAAGTCATTATCTCGTATAATGTAGTACTAAGTATAAAGTATATAAACTAAATGAAAGTTGAATTCGAGATAGAGAGAGACCATGTATAAACTTATAATATTTGCTTATCAATGTTTGGTGAAAGCAATAAACGTGTTTTTAATTGTATTGTATTCAATTATCTCCTAATTGATATCAATACAATAACAAAAACATCTTTAATTAATTTAATGTCAAACACATGATGTATTAACAACTATTAAATTAGAGCCGGCAATGATGTGGAAAATCTTATGCGAATCAATATTGATTAATGAGTATCGACCTATCGTCACAATTCGTTTCGTAATTAAATGAGTTGATCTAGAGCGGAAGGTTAATATTTGGGTTTATTTATGCTCTCGCTATGATACATTTGATTTATTAGTGCCATCAACAAAGAACTAGATTTTGTCACATGACATTATTTAAATTCTTCATTATTTATCAGCTCCCACCTCTCTCATCTCCTTTTGTGAGTTATATATATATATATATATATATGATCCATTTTATTAAGTTCAGTATATATTTAAGTCTTTTCTCATTACTTCTCCAAAGGGCTAAGGGGAACACACAAAAAGGCTCAGTTATTTCAATTATTGTATGGAGAGCATTATTTTGGATGGTGAAACTATTGCTCCTTTGTCCGTATTTACTTGTCCAATTTTGAATTGAAATATCTATTAAAAAAATAATACTAACATAATGAGTTTATCATTTTACTCATATTCATTAATTGATAGAAGTTCAAAATCAATTTACTCATTAAAGAGGTTATACCTTTTTCAAAAACATTAACTCTCTAAATAAATTGAGGGTATAATAGGTATAAAAATAATAATATTTTTTTAATTTGTCAAAAATGACAAGTAAAAATATCAAAATTGAACAAGTAAAACCGGCAGATGGAGTATTATTAATACACAAAATTCAAAGTACATACAATAGATGAATATACTAAACAAGTATAGGCAAACTGTCAAGCTGACATATACATACAAGCTTGAAACAAGATGATATATAATAAAGTTGGATTACCATTTTATTTGTTTACCAAATTAAATATTTATTTAATTAATTATTACTAAATAGTAATATCTTAATATTTTTTGAATCAATTTAAATTGTGAGGTACAATGAATCGTCTAATTTACTAGTTCAATCCAGGGAAATGAAAGGGTTTTTGATATTAAGTGATAATACAAACAAAAGTTGAAAGCATCCCAAGTCTCATTTCGAGATAACATTTAATATTTGTGTTAAATTTGCTTTTATCATTGAAATTTAAAACTTTCACGGTTAGCTTAT